GGCAAGTGTCGCGGTCTCCGCACTGCCAGGAAGCTCCGCAGCCACCGGCGGGACCAGAAGTGGCATGATAAGCAATACAAGAAAGCCCACTTGGGCACAGCCCTGAAGGCCAATCCGTTTGGAGGTGCCTCCCATGCCAAGGGAATCGTGCTGGAAAAAGTGTAAGTGAAGGGACTGCTCCCGAAAGGCGTTGTGTGATCGCCACGCCACTGAGAACGAAGAACTCAAAAGATTGTGAGGCCACGTTGGTGTGGGTTTTTAGGGAGGAAGGATGGAAGGTACCCGAGTTTATGTTAGGATTAGTTCTCAGAATTGGATGACGAAAGGTTTCTTATTTCAGCATGGGTCTGGAAGGAATGGGAGAAGATAATAGAGCCCATATTGAACAGGGTGAGGACTGTTTAAAAAATGTACCCGAGCCATCTGGTACATTCTTAAGGTCTTTTTGGGGGGGTTGAGATGCAGCTGGTGCGTTGGCTTTTTTAAATTATTTTATTATTTTTGTTTGTTTTGTTTTCCGAGACAAGGTTTCTCTTTGTAGCAACTCGGGCTGTCCCAGAACTCAGTGGTTATTATTAGAACATACATACAGAGATCCCCCTGCCTCTGCCTCTCAGTGCTGGGATTAAAGGCATGGGCCATCATACCCAGCCTTGAAGCATTGACTTTAAAATGGCAATTATTTTGTGTAGTTTTGACAAATTAGTTAAAATAGGAATCCTTTGTTTCCTTGGTTTTGCAACTCCAAAGGAGCTAGAAGTTCTCTACCGTTTGGGGGGGACGACGACTCAGGATGAACAAAAACTTAGTTGAAATCATTGCATCGGAGGGATTTAAGAGCGGATTGAGAGAGTGGGGGAACTTTGTGCACTCACATGTGCCCTTGCTGTTTCAGAGGGGTTGAAGCCAAACAGCCCAATTCTGCCATCAGGAAGTGTGTCAGGGTGCAGCTCATCAAGAACGGCAAGAAGATCACAGCTTTCGTGCCCAACGATGGCTGCTTGAACTTCATTGAGGTGAGTGTCAGTCTGTACTTCTGCTTGTGGGGTGGCTTTTTCCTACGTGCTTTTGTTTTTTTTTTAAGTCTGTCAAATGGGCAGTTCCTTTTAATTGGTATGCATTTAATTGCTACTGATACCTAAGATGGGCTTTATATTTTATTTCAGGAAAACGATGAAGTTCTGGTTGCTGGATTTGGTCGAAAAGGTCATGCTGTAGGTGATATTCCTGGAGTCCGCTTTAAGGTTGTTAAAGTAGCCAATGTGTCCCTTTTGGCCCTATACAAAGGCAAGAAGGAAAGACCAAGATCCTAAATTTTGACAGCGGAAATGCAATAATAAATTTTCATATTCTGAAAATAGTTTGTGTCTTAATTCCTATCCTGGCCTTTAACCGTTTTAGGAAAGAGTTGCTAAAATATTTTGTGGTATAAGTGTGGCTTGTACCAAGACAACGTAGCATCCCTTACTCTGCAGCTACAGTCTAGAAATAAGTGCAGTAATGAAGAGTGTCTTCATGTACAGTATTCTCAACATGCATCGAATTTCTTTTGCTTGGCAGTTGTCAAGTTTAATAGAGTGAGTATCACAGATGTCTTTTAATTGGTATTTATAAAGATCCTAATTTTCTGTGTTTACTAAGATGTGACATAGTGTGGAGAACTTACTTAGCATGCATAAAGTCCTGGAGGGTCAGTCATCAGCGGATAAAACCGCCTATTCATGGGGCTGTAATTCCAACACTTGGAGACTGAGGCAGAAAGAGTGCTTTGAATGTGCACTAAGTAGTTGTGGGGAGCTTAGGCCAAGGTAAGTGGGCTGTAGAGGGAAAGTTCCAGACAAGGGAGAGTGCATGCCTTCTGTAATCAGTTGTCTGGTACATTTGAACCTCAGCGGTCAGTGAATGCCGAGGGCTTTGCAGGTGAAGCTGCAGGACCAGAGCTCAGATCTCCTGCCTCACTAAATGGAGGGGTGAAGGGAAACACCCCATGGCAGCTTTGGCTTTGCTACTTGTCTGTATTTTTGGCACTTAGTTGGCCCAAACCATTCCTCAATCTGCAACGCCTCCCTGTTGAGTACCTTGTATTTTAAACCTTGGTGATCTCAGGGTGTTCAGTTGTGTCAGGTGGGGATTATAGCCCTGATTGTGTGTGCACTAGAGTAGACTAGTAGACTGCACTAGTCTGGCTGTTGATTTCATACAGTGCTTCCTAGCAGGTGGAGGTGTCCTTTAAGCAGCCGAGGATGTCCATGGTCAACCCTGCCAGGAAGGCTCAGAGGCTTACATGTGACATCTGGCATGGATGTCTGGCTGCTAGTGTGGCAGTGAGGTGAAGTCTCAACAAAACAGACTCCTGGGGCCAAGGAGAACTTTGTTCCCTCCTGTCATTGTAAGGATCAGCTGAACCTGCAAAGTCCTTTGGGGAGATGTCAAGACACCCCCAAGGGCATCTTGTATACTTAACTCTTTTTTGGTTTGGTTTGTTTTTTGAGACAGGGTTTCTCTGTGTAGTTTTGGTGCCTGTCCTGAATCTCAATCTGTAGACCAGGCTGACCTTGAACTCACAGAGCCTGTCTCTGCCTCCAGAGTGCTGGGATTAAAGGTGTCCACCACCGCCCAGCCCACTTAACTCTGCTTACATGTTCACAGGATTCCCTTTTACCAGCTACACAGCCCCACGGTACAGTGGCTACCAAACTAACAGTGTGGAACTGGATTTTGTCCCTTTTCTGTATGCTCGTCCATATTGGCGACCAAGGTTCTGTCCTTCACACTTAACACGAAGCTTGTGTCTCGCCATGCTTTTTCCCATTGAGCAAGAAGGCTGGGCATGGCTGCCACCTGCAGCTCCATTTGGGAGGCAGATTGCAGTTGGAGGTCAGCATGGATCACGAAGTAAAACCCTGTCTCAAAAAAACAATCTGAGAAAGGCATCAACAACTTGGACAGTTTCAGCTGGTCTGTTTTTTAGGATCTAGGAAACATTCTAAAATGTATGGAGGAGCTAGAATAGCTTGAACAATGTTGCAGGCTAATAAAGGTGGAACGGTAACAAAGCAATTTTAAGATGAGCTGCAGCATCAAGACTGAAGATGAGTGGCAGAATTAGGTCGGCTTTCTAAATGCGGACCAGGTGAGATTCAAGAAACAGCATTTTTAACCTAAGCTGAGTTAGGATTCTTAGAAATTACTCCCAAAGCATGTTTTATAAAATAATGCTGGTCATCCAGTTTTTAAACTTCAGCTTTTTGAAGGTCCTTAAAAGGTAACATGAAGTATTTTTAAATTGTATACTCAATGAAGGACATGTATCCACTCCTAAAACTTGTGTCCACTCCTTAAACCAAGCAGACTAGTATCTGTACAGGTACTTGCAAAGTGAAACAGCTGGGTTTTCCATCTGCTGGGGGAGAATGGCAGTTTTGTATGAAGTACAAATCTGTCCCAGCCATTAAACTCCTAAGTAGTTAGACGTTAAAATACATGCCTGTATTTTAAAGCCTGTGTATGTATTTATGGCAACTTAGTGACAGCCAAGAACTAGAAATCTACAGGAGAGACAGCTAAACTGTATATCAAAAAAATGGCATACTACTAACCAGAAAAACTATTGTTGGGACTGGAGAAATGGGTCAGTTTAGGAACATGTGCCATGTGGACTTGTGTTCACACCCATCTCCAGCAGAACACAACTGTAACTCCAACTCAAGGGTAATCTGAAACTTTCCTGGCCTCTACAGGCATACACTCAATGTGCACAAATCCACACAGACACATGTACATGTGATTTTTTAAAATTAGATAGTGAAATTGCTGTTACATGCAGCACCTTCCATGAACCACAAGAGTACAAAAGGGCAATTTCAAAAAGTTACTTCCTATATGTTATCATTTATTTAACTCTTGAAGATGACAGCATGGGGACAAGATGGCAGTCAACAGGAATGAGAAGCAGAGCCTCACACGTTTTATTGCTCCCTCACCCCCAAAACATACCTTTCTGGCTGTTGTGCTTGCGCCTGCCTCCTGAGTGAGTGCTGGAAGTAAATAAAGATGTGTTCCACAACGCCTGGCCAAAAGGTTCCTTTGTAGTTTTGTGTCTTGATTATGCTGGGGTTAATACAACTCAATATGATGGAATGTCATACACACTCAAAAAGGGAATGCACTCAAATCAATTTATTCCCAACACTCGGAAAGCAGAGGTAGGTGGATAAAGCCAGCTTGGTCTACAGAGAGTTCTTGGTCAGCCAGGGATACAGAGAGAAACACTGTCCTGAAGAGAAAAAATAGAAGTTGTGAACAGTACTTCAGCCCATTATTTATCTGTGTTAAGTCTGTCTAGCAAAGGCCAAACAAAGCAGAGACTGTTCAGAGCAGAAGGAACCTCACCTTCCCTGCCTCAAGATCCCACAGCAAAGGGATGTCAGGTTTAGCCACTTGCTGGATTTCAGGTATCGGCAGTCTCTGAGAAACGATTTTTAAGGTGTCTGTGAGCTCTTTTTTAAACATGCTCAGGTAGCTCTAAGGTAATGGTCTTCTGACTTTCTCCATGTGTAACCACTGGTCTTTTTGTGTTGTATCCGTCTTGAGATCGCCTCTTCTCCCTTTGTTTACTTCCCACAAACTGAGCTTACAGCCTTGTGTGGGCCACCACACCTGGTCCCTGGTCCCATTCCTTAACTGGGCACTTTATACTGTCTTGCTCAGATCTGGCCACCTCATCTCATCAACTGGAAATAAATGGAACGTAGGTAAGTCCTATCACTTTAAAAAGAACTTGCTCAAGTAATTGCACTGCTGAGATAGAACAGTTGTTGGTCTAATGCTGTCGCTGAGGAAAGTCAAACCATTGCCAAGCCATGGGCACTGCCTTACAAGTGGAACAGGCCTGGCTCCATGCTGGGGTTTAGTAAGGGTTTCTTCTCCTCTGTGTCTGAGGGGAAGTATATATAAGATCAGTGAAATTTTTGTGCTTTATGAAAAGACTGAAATGCATTTGAAAATTTCTGTTAGCATAGCACTTTAGATACCACTTTTTTCTTCTATTTTTAAAAGAATTGCATGGTTCTAATTTCAGAATCTATATATGTATATCTTACTGTTTTTTATTGAAATTTTTTTTTTCATACAGCATATTCTGATTACAGTTTTCCCTCCCTCATATTCGCCCAGATCCTCCCCACCACCTCACCTACCCAATTCCGTGCTTGTTTTTTCTTTCTCTTTAGGAACAGGCCAACAAATAAATAAGTAAATAAATAAATAAATAAATAGCTAACAAAGCAGAGACAAACAAAAAGCTCTAGAAACGCACATGCAGAGACACAAATGCATGATGCAGAGACATCTACACATATACACAAAACTTAGAAAAAAACACAAAATAGGAAACCCTAATAGATAATCAAAAGACAAGGTAGAAAATGTCCAGAAAAAGCATTAGGTCATTATGAAAAAAAAAAAAATCTCCAAAAATACCGCTGAGTTTGTTTTGTGTTGGCCATCTACTGCTGAGCACAGTGTGGTTAATATGCCCTGTGAGGCTTAAGTCCTTAAGTGTGGTTCATATGCCCTGTGAGGCTCCAAGGGAGAAAACTAATTTTCCTCTGCAAGCATTTGTCAATTGGAGATGATTCTGACTTAGGGATGGGGGTCATGTTTACTTTCTCTCTTGTCACCCCATCTGGCTTGGACCTGTGCATGCTGCCAGTCGAAGTTCCTATGTGTGTCTTGTTCTGTCTGGAGGACAAGGTTTCCTTGGTATCCTCCATCCTGTCTGGCTCTTAAAATCTTTATCATCTTCAGCGTAGTTCATTGAACCCTGAAGGGAGGGATTTGATGAAGATATCCATTTAGGACTGACTGTTCCAAGTCTTTCACTTTGCATTCCAATTGTGGGTCTCTATATTAGTTCTTTTTTTTTTTTTCACATTTTTTTTTTTTGTGATATATATTTTTTATTTTACAATACCATTCAGTTCTACATATCAGCCATGGGTTCCCCTATTCTCCCCCCTCCCACGCCCTCCCCTTACCCCCAGCCCACCCTCCATTCCCATCTCCTCCAGGACAAGTCCTCCCCC